GGCAACTCCAACAACCTGGCCAGACCCGAGATAAGTCAGTAGCCTACTTACGCAGAGCTGACAGTGATACACTGGCTAAACCTACAGTTGCTGAGTTAAATGGATAAAGCCACGTTATCTCATTAAGTTGTTTGCTAATATGCCACCGTCCAGCTCTGATGGGTTCACACTAATAAAGCCCTGCATCGAGTAACGCCATTAAATGTGGCAGCAAGGTGACAAAAACAAATGTAGACACAAACTTTAAGGGAAATATACTAATTACAGTTCATAGGTTAGCTCCACAGAAACAGGATGCAGGACACTTTTATAGAGCAGTCACTTGACGGTAACGTTAAGTCATAAAATGTGACTGCAGCCATTGTTTACAGCAATACAACTGTCAACAGCTCGACCCGTGGCCACTGTAAAGACAGAGGGACGACGGAGCACAGCAGTGACAGAAGTAATGTTAGTTAAGGCAAAGTCATAAAAAGGGAAGCTGGAGTCCAAAGGGGGGCAGACTGCTTTAATCCTCTAGAATATACAACCATCTCACGATCCGTTCCTGTCAAACTAATCAGGTTTTTACACGTATTAATGTGTATTTTTTGGGCATCAAACCGCGTTTTTAACGTTTAACAGGCGACTTGTGGTGAATCGATTCCGTTCCAGCAAACAGCCTGCGCCCAGTGTTCTAGAACGCTACAGCTAGCATGCCGGCTAACGGTCGGATAACAATAACTGCGATGCGGTGTGATTACCAAACTTAACCCCATTAATTTAACGCGACGGCCAAATTAACGATGACACGACTCCACATAAGCGCCCAGTTCGTCACAAACATGTCATATTTAATCACCGCCCGGAGGCCTGCGAGCTAGCTTCACGTTGGCAAATGTGAAAAGGAAGAAAACACCTTTTTTTTCATAGCGCGAGCTGTTGTTGCTAGCTCAGTGGCACAGTTAGCCCTCAGCTAACGTTACTGAACTTGACTAGCCTGCGTCGCGAAAAGGGAAAGAGTACACACAACTTTTACGGAAAGAGAGAGCCGTGGGGAAACTCACCGCTCGAGATATGCCGTTTCGATGCTGCCACCGTGACAAGCAAAACCCCTGTCGTGTAATTATCCACTCCCTGCTTCCTCTTGAGAGGTACCGAGCGATGTGTGTGTGATGTCGCTTACACCCCGTCCTCGGAGTCTAAATGTAGCTACTAGCATAAGGTTTGCGACGTTTATTTCCGCTTCCTTCCACAGCGCAGGGAGGGTCTGCCTGCTGTTGTGACTGGAGCTCCTCCCCGTCAGTCTGTTCCACTCGTCTGCCAAACCCACCACAGAACTGCCGCCTACAACTGCCTTTAGTTAGGCCCTGTGATTATTACAAGTAGCCTAAGATTAATACCTATTATTAGTATGTATGTATCTATCATATAAGACATAAAGGCATTCCCTGTGTGGATCCTGAAAGCTGAAATTAATTCAAAACCATGGCTAAAATGCAGAAATATAAAACAACTGCCCGAAACATCTGAAAATCTGGCAGAAATGAAAGATACATTTCTATGAAAGCTGGGAGCTAAACTGTGATGTTAGAGGTCAGAGGTGGAGGTTGAAATTAACTGAAAAAGTTAAAGGAATAAGTGTTTCATACTTTAAAAAGCCTACAAAGTAAAAACAAAAAAGAACAGGAGCATAAACATTCCTTTGACATTTGAATGGTTTATGTAGCTAAAAGTATGTAGTAGTCAAACAAAAAATGTACAAGAGAAGTAGTAGTTATTGTAATAGTAGTCATAGTAGTAGTAGCTAGTTGTAGAGTAGTAGCCTAGTAGTGCTAGTAGTATGAGTAGCATTAGAGGTTGTACCGATACCAATACCAGTATCGGAAATGCCTCTGATACTGCCTAAAATGCGGTATCGGGTATCGGAGACCACGTAATGCCTCACGTCATTACACATAAGCATGCTACAGGCAAACGAAACAGAAACGGAAACGTTTATGGCATTCATTCTACTATTATGTATTTATTTCTTAATATTTTACATAGAGTTTTAGGAGTTGAGACATACAACAATTCATATCCCATCCATTTTTTTTTTACCCGCTGGTATCGGATCAGTACTCGGTATCGGCAGATACCTAAGGTTCAGGGATCGGAATCGGGAAGGAGCAAGTGGTATCGGTACATCTCTAGTTAGAGGTAATAAATGGCAGCATCAGTAGTAGTAATAGTGGGGGCAGTAGTAGAAGTAGGTGGTTGTCGTAATAGTAGTAGTAGTTAGTAGTAGTAGGGCTGTTGTTGTAATAGTAGTAGTAGTAGTAGTATTAGGACTGGTTGTTGTAATAGTAGTAGTAGTAGTAGTAGCAGCAGTAGTAGTAGTAGTAGTAGTAGTAGGACTGGTTGTTGTAATAGTAGTTGTAGTTGTAGTAGTAGTTGTTGTAATAGCAGTGGTAGTGGAAGTAGTATCAATAGTAGTAGTAGTAGTAGTTTTAACAGTAGTTGTTGTTGTTGTTGTTGTAGAAGTAATAGTAGTAGTAGTAGTAGTAGTAGGACTGGTTGTTGTAATAGTAGTTGTAGTAGTAGTAGTAGGGCTGGTTGTTGTAATAGTAGTAGTAGTAGTAGTAGTAGTAGTAGGACTGGTTGTTGTAATAGTAGTTGTAGTTGTAGTAGTAGTTGTTGTAATAGTGGTAGTGGAAGTAGTATCAACAGTAGTAGTAGTAGTAGTAGTAGTAGTGCTAGTAGTAGTAAAAGTAGTTTTAACAGTAGTAGTAGTAGTAGTTGTTGTTGTAGAAGTAATAGTAGTAGCAGAGGTAGTGGTAGTATCAATCAATCAGTCAATCAATTTTATTTATAAAGCCCAATATCTCAAATCACAATTTGCCTCACAGGGCTTTACAGCATACAACATCCCTCTGTCCTTTGGACCCTCACAGTGGATCAGGAAAAACTCCCCAAAAAACTTCTTTAACAGGGAAAAACGGTAGAAACCTCAGGAAGAGCAACTGAGGAGGGATCCCTCTTCCAGGATGGACAGACGTGCAATAGATGTCGTACAGAACAGATCAGCATAATAAATTAACAGTAATCCGTATGACACAATGAGACAGAGACAGAGACAGAGAGAGAGAGAGAGGGGTCCCCCGGCAGACTAGGCCTAAGTCAGCCTAACTAGGGGCTGGTACAAGCCGAGCCTGAGCCAGCCCTAACGATAAGCTTTATCAAAGATGAAAGTCTTAAGTTGGTTAGTACGTGTTAATTTGAGTGACATTTTACAAGTGAGGGCCAGGGCCCCCTACACTTTGGGCCCCTCACCCAGTGCCCATTAGGCCCCCTCTGTAATGCTTTCATGGTTGGAGCATCCTAATGTAACCGGTGGACTCTAGTGTTGTCTGCGTTGTGTTAGCATGAAGAGGCCCAGACTGTGGATATCGATCTCCGTTTATTCCTGACAGCAAGAGGTAAAAATAAAATCCTATAACTCAAGCCCCTCTCCCATGGAGTACATCAGCAAAAGGGGAGCGGTAAGGCAGGAGACACCCCTTTACAGGTGGGGTACCTCCAAAGGGGAACATAGGGGTACAGAAACTGAGTATCAAACATTCCACATATTGTCTATCGGGGCCTAAGTGTTTCAGGTAATAATTGTATCAGGTAATAAGTGTGCATTTGACTTTGTTACACATATTACTGCTGTATAATTGACCCTGTTACGCTAATGATTAGTGTCTGCAGACTATTGCCACAACAGTGCATGACATCTGACTTTACTGGACAGATAATGAAAGTAGACAGGGCAAAGCATTAAAGTGAGCAAGGTGACGAAACCTGACATGTATACCTCTTAATGATAAGGTAGAAGTGTCTTGATGGCTCCTTTCAGACTGTTTTTGATAAGACTGGAAACCAGCAGCCTTTTGCAGGCATTCTCCAAATCCTATTATTGACAAATTAAATATTTGTGGCCTGGATATGTTTTACACAAAGCAGCCAAAAAATGTGCACACACAGCACAGACACTACTTTGATGATGCTCTGGATGATTTGCCAACAAAAAGTAGCTTCTATCACACTTTCTGTCCTCCAGGCTGTCAGCAGGTAGTGTGTTAGCCGTGATCCCACTACAGAAACCATTATTTGGCAAATATTTGCTCGTCTTTCTTTGTTTTCATTTTTTGGACATCTGCTTTTAATTCTGACCTATCTGAGACAACAGGAGCGTTTGAATACCTGGATAATACTGACACCTAGTGGAGAGTTTTAGGCCCATGAAACCAGCGTTACTCATGCATTATAGACTAACAGTTTTCTGCTGTTTAATGGTGCAGCATTGCAAAAGTTCTCACCAGAAAGGCACTGACTTGTATTATAAGAGCAGTGTTAATGTGATAAAATACAATGATGGAGGTAATACTAAGATTATACCTTGCAGCAGTGTGTCATGCAAGATGGGATGGATACAGTAATTTAATATAGACCAATATTTAAGATAGATTGAATCTGTGACTGAATATTTTGGATGAATCCTTTATTTAATTTTATTTTATCTTATTTTATTTTGTTTCGTTCTATTTTTATTCTATATTACTTTATTTCGTTTTATTTTATTTTTTATTTCATCTTATGTTGTTTTGTTTTATTTGATATTATTTTACTGTATTTCTTTTTATTTTATTGTGTGTTGTTTTATTTTATTTTATTTTTTATTTCATTTATTCAACATGATTTTGTTTCGTTTTGTTTTGTTTTAATTTGTTTCGTTTTTACCTTATCTAATTTTAATTTTGTATTTTGTTATTTCATTTTATTTTATATTTCTTTTTTTGTTTATTTCATTTCGTTTTTATTTTATTTCATTTTATTCCGTTTTGCTATATTTTATTTCATTTAGTTTCATTTTATTCTATTTTATTAATTTTTATTTTACTTTATTAAGACAACATTAAGAGAGAAACCTTCACCACCCACGCCTCTCTCCCTCTCAGTCAGTGTCTGATCCCTGGCAGTGAACTATTTGCCTCATTTGTCCCTGACTGTCATGATGGAGAATATCAGCCTCCTCCAGTTAAAGTCATAGAGCATCGCTAATCTGCAGAGTATGAGGATGACGTCGGTTACGTCGTTTTTTTGTTTTTCTTTTAAATTGCAAGTCGCGTGCTCTGGACGGTGAAGTCATCTGGATGGCACAAAGATGCGCGCGACTTTACATCTCCGCCGTCAAATCCAGAAACTATCACTGTAAGCTGTTTTTTTTTAATGGGACTATTTAATTTAAAATAATTTCCTGCTAGATTTTGGCACCGAGTCTAGTCGGACTTCATTTCGATCCCAAACTGACATGTAAGTTGCAGCTGTTGTTATTATAATAATTGTAGTTATTATTATAGAGGAAGAGGACCAGTAGCTTTTGGGGATGGACTTTGCCTACATTTCCAATTCATCCTTCAGTTCGCCTGAGAATCTGGGAGAAGGTAGGTTCTTTTGTTTCTTCTCCTCTTTAAGTAGTGTTGATTCAGCTGAACACACTGTGTTAGTGCTGTGACACAACAACATAGACAAATCAGATATTCCGCAGCTGCCATTCATTCATTTTCATTCATTTATTTCTTCTACTCCAGTGGCTCAAACATTAATATGGGAACACTTTCTATGCAGACCACATTTACAATGCCTTATGAGAGCATTCATAGTTAATTATAATGGATTCCTGATGCTTTATGATGACACTCATTAACACATAATGCTCACTGCTGCACTATATCAACAGTCATTAAACATTATAGATGTGACTTATAATGAGTCAGGTGTCTTAGGGATGTGCTTGACTAATTGTAAACTAGAGGTTGACTAATGAAGCTTATAATTCTTTATTTTATTTTATTTTATTTAACTAACCCATAATTAACCAGGTAAGTCCTGTTGAGATATCTCTTTAATAAGGGAGACCTGGCCAAGACAGCAGCACACCAAAAGTTACAGCTGAACAACCACACAATAACAAACATAAAAGATATACAGTAGGTATAGATATATAAATAATAGAACATCTACGCACACTGGCAAGACCCAACAGACCCATTCATCCTTGTACGTATGAGAGATTTAAAATCAGGCAGAGACCAGTTCACGTCTCTTTTTTAAGGGTTAGTCCAGGTGAGAGGAGCAGAGCACATCAAAGATTTCTTTCCCAGCTCAGTCCGAGCACCAGGAACAGACTACAAAACTTAAATCTTGAGATCTCAGACTGTAGCTACAGTCAGATCAGTTCAGTCAAAATACAAATGTACGAAGGGAGTTTACCCAGTGTGGCTTTATAAATGAACAAACACCAGTGACTGAGCCTATGGGAGGTCAAAGATGGCCAACCAGCCCTGGAATAAAGCGTACAGTGATGAGTGAGGAATTCAGCTTTTTAAGAAGATACTCAACCTGAGGTTTAAAAGACAGTCATTGAGCCAAATACTGAGATATTTGATATAAAGTCCCAATGTCCTTAAATAAAACAACAATTAAGTCCCAATGTCCTCAAATGAGACGACAATTAAGTCCCAATGTCCTCAAACAAATCAACAATTAAGTCCCAGTGTCCTCAGACAAGACGATAATGAAGTCCCAGTGTCCTCACATGAGACGATAATAAACTCTCAGTGTCCTCAAACAAGTACTTTCTAATCAACAACATCTTTTCTTGTTACTATCCTTAAAATTTGTTAACTTTGTTGCCATATCAAACTACAAACATTATTAAATCACAAATAAACTATTTTCAACCATAAAATGTGATCAGGTTTTGGACCTTGTCCACTTTTGTGTCGAAATCGGCTGCAGACTGACTTGGCAGAGATGGCTGCCATCTTGTTTTTACACAGATTAGTGTATTGTCGTCTTACTGCCACTAGATGGGGCAAAAAAAAGAGTCCATAATCAAGGACAACAGGTCCAAGTTAAACAGAATGAAGATTAAGGTGCAGCATACCCAAAATGGGATGTCCTCGTATGAGGACGCAGGGTCTCAGGAGGATATTGTATCTTGACTAAAGTATCATTATAATATCGTATCATGGGGACTTTGGTGATTCCCACCCCTAATTGTAAGTGATTAATGCCTGTCATATACTAGAATGTTTTGAAACTACTTTTAAAAGATTAAAGTCTGACACACTCTCACATTGTAAGACAATGAGTCAGAGAGTTTTAAGTCACAGAATAAGATTTCACAAAAAACAGGGTTCTTGCAGGGTCTCCTATTTCCATGATTGCTAATTTAAAAAAGGAAAAAAAGTGTTCAGAAATTGTTGCAGCCTTCAAAATCACCAGTGAGTAACACTAAAAGGCTCGGTGAAATCATTTCATGTTACTTGGGATCCTTTTCTGAATCACATACATTCTCTAGACTTTTCCTCTGAGTTGGAGGATTGATATGTGTAATTGTTTATTTACTTTTTGTTTATTTTTATTCAATATCATTTAACCTTTATTTTTTATTTTTTAATTTATTATTATTTTTCGATTCCTTTTGTACTTATGTATTATTATTTTTTTTATTTATTTATTTACTTTTTTCATTTCCTCTTATTTGGGTTTTGAGTGATTGGCCTGGCAGTGGGTTGTGGGCGGTGGGTGGAAGGGAGTTGACATTCAGATGTGACAATCAATGTTTTGTCTGTTTTTTCTTTACCTGATGCTGTATATCACACTGTCTTGTCTAAAATGTTCAAAATGTTCTATAAATAAAGTTGGAAAAAAAAAAATCACCAGTGAGTATGCTATGTGCTATAGCTAGCTAGCTAGCTAACCACTGTCCCCATTCCAGTCCCAAAAAGGGCTACATGTAAGCTAACGTTAGCTACTGGAATGTTTGCTATCAGCCTTTGAGCTAACTGTACATTTCAGCTGAAGATTTCTAACTTCTCTCATATAAGGTTACATGATATATGATCTTTGAAGCTAGCAGGCTTCAGCTGAAATGTACAATTAGCTTGTAGGCTACTAGCAAACATTCCAGTAGCAAATGTTAGCTGCTGGAATGGCTAATAGCAAACACTGAAGCAGCTAACGTTAGCTACTGGAATGTTTGCTGTTAGCCTACAAGCTAACTGTACATTTCAGCTGAAGAGTTCTAAGTTCTCTCAAATATCTGGTTACATGATATATGATTTTGAAGCTAGCAGGGTTCAGCTGAAATGTACAATTAGCTTGTAGGCTACTAGCAAACATTCCAGTAGCTAACTTTAGCTTGCATGTAGCCCCAACGGTGGCTAGCTAGCTTTAGGATATAGTTCTTAGCAGGGACTGCAGAAATATACGTCCCTTTGCTTTCTCCACTTTATTTAAATCACTATTATAGTGATTTGATAAGTTAAATATGGAAAATTGGGTTATTTTATTTAATTAAAAATCAAATTAATTATCTATCAACTACATTTTTTTCTATTAAAAAAGGCATTACTTTTAATTAACTTTTTTCACCAGACTAGATAATAGAGTGCTGCATGGATGTATTTTTTTTGTAGATCAACCAAGGAAAATATACCTTCCTTGAGGCCAACCTGGAAGTTAAGGCTGCACTCATTCCTTTATCAAAAAGCTAATGTGATTTTTCCATTGGATTTTGGAAACAGATGTTTATACTTACACGTTTTGTTTTGTTTTGTGTAATAATTTTTACAAATGAACACCACTTTAATGACTTTTGAAGGGTAATGTATTCGCCAGAAATAAAAAGCTAACATAAGGCTAACGTTTTGATCTTTATATTCATTATAAGTCATCTATAATGTTTTATTACTGTTGATAAAGTGCATCAGTAAGCATTATATGTGTTTATAATTGTAGTTACGAAGCACTGTAACTTACTATGAATGCCCCTATAATGCGTTATAGAAAGGGTCTTCATAGAAAGTTACCCAAAAAATATATTTATGGAAAATAAGTGGCTGAGTTTAGCATGTTATAACTGCCTGATAAAGATTATTGTGTTTGTTTTTTTTTACCAGAAGAAGAGGAGTACAACAATGTGCTCATGCCCAGCATCTTTGGTGTCATCTGTTTCATCGGGATCTTTGGGAACTGTATTGTCATCTACACCATTGTGAAGAAAACCAAGTTCTGCTCCCAGCAAACGGTTCCAGACATATTTATCTTCAGTTTGTCCATCGCAGACCTCCTCTTCCTCCTTGGCATGCCTTTCCTCATCCACCAGCTCGTGGGCAACGGCTCCTGGTGTTTCGGTGGCACCATGTGCACTGTCATCACAGCACTTGACTCCAACAGCCAGATCGTCAGCACATACATCCTGACTGTGATGACTCTGGATCGCTACCTAGCCACCGTCTATCCCATCCGCTTCAAACATGTCCGGACGCCCTTCGTGGCCGGGGCAGCCGTGGCTCTGGTGTGGGTGTTTTCTCTGGTGTCCATCACTCCGGTCTGGATGTACACGGGACTCATGCATCTGAAGAACGGCTCTGTTGGCTGCGCCCTCCTGCTGCCCAACCCAGCCACAGATACATACTGGTTCACCCTCTACCAGTTCTTCCTGGCCTTTGCTCTGCCGTGGGTGGTTATCTGTGGCGTCTTCTTTAAGATTCTCCAAAACATGTCAGCGACAGTTGCTCCCCTACCCCAACGCAGCCTCAGGGTGCGGACCAGAAAGGTGACCCGTATGGCGGTGGCCATATGCCTGGCATTCTTCATCTGCTGGGCCCCCTACTACATCTTACAGCTGGCCCACCTCGGAGTGCAGCAGCCCACCTTCGCTTTCCTGTATGCCTACAACATTGCTATCAGCATGGGCTACGCCAACAGCTGCATTAACCCATTTATCTACATTGTATTAAGTGACACATTTAAGAGGCAGTTCATCGTGGCCGTTCGGCCGTCCCACAGGGTTTTCAGAGTGGCACCTGCTCTGGCTGATGGCAGCATGAGTCTGAGGATGGCACCAGACAGCTTTCAACCATCTCACTCACAGTCAGCGAGGGAGCTGTTTCAGAACATGCTGCCAGTCACTGTGGCTGTGCACTGAGATACGGACACTTAACCAGCAAACACTTGAGCTTACATGAAGACATACTGTGACTCTGCTGATCTATAAAGAACGTTTTTGTGCCAGGTGGTGACATAATCTGTGATATTTCAAAGCATGTTCGGAGTGAGTCACCCTTTTATTCACAATCAGAAAAAAAAAAGGAACAATGGTCGACATCTTGTGTGTTTGGTAATCATCTTTAGACTCAGCAAACTACAGAGAACTGGGTCAATTATTAAACCGTAGAAAACAAATAACAGCATAATGAGCATAATTTCTCCCCTGATGATTACTGTGTAGTAACTTAATTGATCATAATGTACCTCTGCATAAGTTGGTTTGACGCATTTCTGATATGCACTCGCAGTCCATTCGCCAGAAGAAAATGTTGACATTGTACATTTCTGTAAACCATGAATACGTTACATTTTCATGCCGAAGGTCCACGGTTTGAATCCTGCTGGGGTCGACATCAGCAATGGCATGCGGTCGCAAGAGGTTCCCACCGCCCAATCGAACAGGATCAGATTAATCTGAGCCAAGTCCTCAACGAGGGCGCGTCTCAAGCCCATCGTAGACAGAAGGTTCCAGATGTTAAAAAAAAAACGTTAGTGTTATTGCTGAGACATCGCTGCGATTCCTGCCAGGATAGTGCCATGAACATTGGTTGTTTATTTACAGAGACATTGCTGAGTTTTCTGCTTCGACAGTGCCATGAAAAGAGGATGTTTTTTTAACAAATACATTGCTGCGTTTCAGGCTGTAATATTGCCAAGATTTTTTTTTTTTTTTTTACCATAAAATCACTGCGTTTCCTGCCAGATTAATGCCACAAAAAGTGGTTGTTTTATTACAGACATTACTGCGTTTCCTGCTGGGATAGTGCCATTAAAAGTCACTGTCTATTCACCAAGGCATTGCTGTGTTTTCTACTGGGACTGTGCCACAAAAAGAGGATGTTTTTAAACAAAGAGGCAAACCTCCCTGCCCTTCCATGCGCCTACATTAAAAGCCTAAGGCACAGAGAGCAGCAGCAAAGACCCCTCAGGAACAGAACAGAGCAGCTTCAATGACAAACAGAAATGACATTGATAAGTCGGACACAACATGAAAAGGAGGAGCTGGGGTGGAAGCAGGTTGCAAAGCAGCTTGCAGAGGAAGCAGCAACAGCAGGCAGGCCAGAGCAGTTTAAACAGCTGCTCCATCAGCTGATTGGGCTGCTTGAGTTTCAATGTATAGCTGCGAACACACAAAGATGCCGTATCGGTGGTTTGCAGAAATGTACAATGCCAACATTTTTTCTGGCAAATAATTTCAAAATTGAGCTGAAAGGAAATTTGTTTTTGCACCAAGTAAAACAAAAGGAAGGGCTACAAAGAATAATTTTTAGTCCACCATGTTATTTTCTTGCTTTGCAAAATGACGTTAATCACATGGTTCTGCAAATTTCAGCATAACGGTTTTTAATATGTGAAATATAATTTATAAACAGCTTTTTAAAATGTTATTTAATTGTTCTAACTAACTAACTATTTATCTGTTTGATGTTACATGATGTGCAGTCAGTGTTGTATTGCAGACTTTATTATGCATGTAGTTGTTTTTCTATAATACAATTTGTGACCCACATCACGTCACCAATCGTTGGCCATCCTCTGAACAGAAAACACATTATCTGTGAATGTATTTCATAGTGAAAAAACAAAAATTCATCTGTAAGCCATCTGATCCATATTTACAGTGATGCATCAGCCGCAGCTTTTTTTTAACATTGTGATTGTGTATATATTGTGACAGTGTCTGTTAACAGGCTGCTTTCCGGGTCACTGTGTGCATATTTAACACATCTGAAATGTCAAAACAATTGTAATCATCATCAGCGCAGCACCATTAAAACAAGAACAAACAGCCACAGGCAATAATTAGAGAGCGTGTGAAAGTGCAGTCAGTGGTCCACAGAGGATGTGCTGCTCCTTACACTCCATATGACTGATGTGCTCTGAACCACATCACTGACTAAGTGAGGACAGATTGCAGTGGACAAAAAGCGTGCATTATATGGCTCTGTTATGTTTCACTGGCAGCTCTCTGTAGATATCAAAGCCAGGCTCATTACTTACTGTATCTGTGTGACTGTTCAGCTTGTGATGCTGTGATGTATTTCTCTCTCTGTGTGGGTTAGAGCTGGTGTGTGGGCGTCCTTTACTCTGATGTGAAATATACACTTTGGCATGTCTATTTTAGCCTGCTGTATTTTTTTTAAACTAAATTCTACTCTAAGATAAAAAAAGACTAGTTTAACAACATGAGGTCAAATTCGATTTACTCTTAATGTTATATTTTTAGTGTATTAGCGACTTTAAGTCTCTGTTCGGGCTGGGTGATGTGGAGAAAATATCACAACATTTTTCACTGAATACATCAATATTGATATTGTATGGCTGACTATTGGTGCTTTCCCAAAATATTTAAACAATGAGGTTTTTGACAAATAATCACCTGTAAAGTGGATATAATATCTAAGTGGGTAAAGGCAAATAACTATTTATTTATTTATTTATTTAACCTTTATTTAACCAGGAAAAGACTCATTGAGATTAAAAATCTCTTTTACAAGAGTGTCCTGGCCAAGACAGGCAGCAGCATAATCATACATACACAAACACAAGGTGGACACAAACATTAAAAACACTTAGCATCAAAAACAGCAACAATTCAAGGTCAACTACAATAATAAAAGCCTCAGGCAAAACATCTACAACCAGGTGTTTCTGCCTCCAGGTCATCCAATTTCCCCTTAAAAGTGTTCAATGAGACCAACTCATTTTGTTTCAAAGTTTTCTGTAACATGTTCCAGGCAGAGGGAGCAGCAGACCTAAATGGTTTCTTTCCCAGTTCACTTCTGACTTTTGGGACAGACAGCAAGAACAAATCCTGAGACCGAAGATTGTGAGTCTCAGCATTACTTCGGTTAATGTAGGACAAAAGGTAAGAAGGAAGAACACCTAAGATTGCCTTGTAAATGAGAATATGCAGGGTGTCAAGAGCATGTAAGCTTTGAGACGAGGCTTGCATATATACTGTACCGTAGTCCAGAACATACATAAAAGTGGCAGCAACCAGTCTCTTTTTTGAGTTAAAAGAAAGGCAGGATTTGATCCTAAAATAAAAACCCAGTTTCAGTTTCAGTCTTTTTACCAGCTGCTGAATGTGATTTGCGAAAGAGAGGGATTCATCAATTAATATACCAAGATATCTGTAATTGGAAACACACTCAATCTTCAAACCCTGAGAAGAGAGGATTGAGGGCAGATTTTGTGGTTTTGATTTTGTATTAGAGAACAGCATGACTTTAGTTTTGTCAGCATTTAAAACAAGTTTTAAATCACACAAATGTTCTTGAACCATGTTAAAAGCAAGTTGTAACTGGGAGAGGGCCCCTTCTGGGGTGGGTGCTGAACTGTAGAGTACAGTATCATCAGCATAAAAGTGAGATTTCACATTTGACACATTTAGATCAATGTCAATGTCATGTACAAAATGAATAGGAGTGGCCCCAGGACTGACCCCTGGGGTACACCTTTACTTACAATGAGAGAGCTAGAGGTGCAGCCCTCTGCAGCTGGAGGAGACTGGTTAGGTCAGAAAATTACAGCACTTTACTGTAAACAGCCTTTAAAACCAGGAAAAGACAACACTATTATAATATCCAAAGTTTAAGAGTCATTCATTCATTTTTTTGTAACCACTTATCCTGTTAGGGGTCGCGGGAGCTGGAGCCTATCCCAGCTGACACTGGGTGAGAGGCAGGGTTCACCCTGGACAGGTCACCAGACTATCACAGGGCTGACACGTAGAGACAGACAACCATTCACACTCACATTCACACCTACGGACAATTTAGAGTCACCAATTAACTTGCATGTCTTTGGACTGTGGGAGGAAGCTGGAGCACCTGGAGGAAACCCACGCTGACACAGGGAGAACATGCAAACTCCAAACCAGGGTTCAAACCAGGAACCATCTTGCTGTGAAGCGACAATGCAAACCACTGCATCACTGTCCACCACTATCGATATATCACCCCTTTAGAAGCTCATGTTTACTTTGTAAGATGAAACTGGAAGAGAAAGATTTCTGCACTTTAAAACAGTTTACATACATGTCTGTGAATACACGGATGCTTCACAGAACACAGAAGATCAACATAATCTGCAGTTTCTGCCCGGCGCCAGATTTCGACAACTTTCCACAACACTGCTGTGCAAAGGTGCTCCTGACACAGTTCAGCACATAACAGCAGGGGGTAAGGTGCAGGCGGGAACAGCGTACATGGGATGCCAGGACTAAGTGTCTGGCATAGTGTACAGGAACATCTGCACTGAGTATGTTCTGGAAGTCCCAAGGTCACAATGGAAGACACCTCCTAAGGTGGTTGAGAATGACCGAACTAAGATCCTGTGGGACTTCCAGATCCAGACAAACTGGTGATGGTTAACCAATGGGGCATCGTGTTGATCAACAAAGATGGAGGTGATAGATGTCGCAATCCCGAGCGATAGTAACATCAGGACGAAGGAACACAGGAAGCTGGAAATATAGCAAGGGCTGAAAGAGGAGCTAGAGAACCGAGCTACCGTCCACCTAAACCAAATCCACGTTTCATCCCAGAGATGTACAATCTTCTTTCCACCTTCTGTTCAACTTCCCACAACATCATAATTCTTGGAGATTTTAACATCCATGTCAACACCCCCTCCTGCCACCTTGCCTCCGAGTTCCTACAGCTACTGGACTGTTTAAACCTCAGGCAACATGTAGACTCTCCCACACACATCAAGGGGAACATCTTGGATCTTGTTATAACTGACTCTGCCCCTGTAAGTGCACCTTCTGTGTATGATATGGGTGTGTCTGACCATACGGTAATCTCTGTGGAGTTACATTTTCTGTCATCACATATCAAGCCCAAACGTGAAATATGTTTCAGAAACCTGAAAAACATTGACACAAAAAATTTGGCTTCTGACCTCAAACACCTCCACCTTGTGCCTATGTCATCAGTCACTGAAACAGTGGACTTCTACAATACAACC